TATATATATATATATATATATATATATATATATATATATATCCCAAAAATTATGGACAAGATTCCCATAATCTAAGTAATCGCTCCTAAAATGGTATAGGAAAACATTTCATTAATATTATAGGAACGATTTCTACATTTTCCTTTCCTTGTTTAAAATTTAAATAGTCAGAGTTGTTATTTACTATTATTATTGTTAAAAATTACTTGACGTAGAATACATATAGAATACATATTAAAATAGCGATTTTTACTGTTTGAAACTGTCAAATTTATAAAATCGGAGGTGTTATTTACTATAGTCATAATCACAAGTTACTCGGTATGATAGTCTAGACTATATATTGAAACGGCAATTTTTACCATTTGATACTATAATTTTTTACGAGAGAGAGAGAGTCGCTATTTACTATAGTGACAGCTACTAATTACTTATTTTCGATATTAAATTATAAATTGTGGCTTTTATACTTTCTACATTAAGTTTTGTAACATTTACATTTTTGCCACTCCGATGTCCGCTGTACTGTTTAAAACTATAAAAATTAACCGGAATCCGAATGAATTTTACTGTTTACTTATTTCCGTGTATGTATAAAATTCAACTGTTAAATAGTATATTGTGTGACTAGGGACGAAGATGATTTCAGATGGAGGGTGGAGTTGCCTGCCTGAGCAAAGCGAGGGCTGGCAACCACCCAAAATCTGAAATCGTGTTTCATCCTGCGTCACACACTATATTTTTCATATAATCTGCATTAAGGGGACCCGGTGGTCTAGCAGCCTAAAATTAAAGCTATTTTAAAAATTTTATTTCTATATGAAAGTAATGACGAATGTTTTCAAATTTTTATTACACTTATTCTACACGGAAAAAAATTAACTGTTGCTGCAACAGGAGGCAGTCATGTTGCAGCAACAGGAAAAAATCCTGTTGCTGCAACAGGATTTTCCTGTAGCTGCAACATGACTGCCTCCTGTTGCAGCAACAGGAAAAATTCCTGTTACAGCAACAGGATTTTCCTGTAGTTGCAACAGGAGGCAGTCATGTTGCAGCAACAGGAAAAATTCCTGTTACAGCAACAGGATTACTAATGTTATTGCGGCTTAATAGTAAAATATAGTTGGGTCATTCCATGTCAAATTGACCTACAGTTGGAATTGACCCCTTTTGATTTGGATAAATTTTGATCAGAAATTTTCTTTTATCATTGAATGAACTTCTGCCAGACGAAAAACAATTAAAAAATTTTATTCAAAAGATATGCAAATTCAAAATTTCGCTATTTTTTCAGTTTTTTAATTTTGTTTTTGGAATTTCTCGAACGTTATTATAGATACGGGAATGGCCTTTCGTTTGTTTGATAGGAGACACTTGGAGCTATTGAAAAAAAAAATATTTTGGAAAAAAATTTTGAAAAATGCCAAATTTGTAAATTTTAAATTTTTGAAAATCATCAAAAATCTCGATTGACATTAAAATTTTGGCTCAATTTTTTTATATAGCACCTTGTACTGATCTTAAAAGACCCTAAAATTTTTAGAACTGTGTGTGTTTTTTTTAAATATGAATTTTTGAATTTCAGAAAAAAATTTTTTCTTGCTTTTGCAACTTTTAAATAAGGTAAAGTTATGCAGATACATAGTATAGTAATTTTTAGCATTAAAAAATTGAATACACGACTCGGAAATATTAAATAATAAAATAATTTTAACTTTTTTTTTTTTTTGAAGTAATCTTAAAGTCAGGCTTAAAGTATGATATAATTGTTATTCGTCATTTTTTTTTTACTTCATTTAAAATTTCCGACGCCATTTATCGTCTTTTTAAGATGGAAATGATTTGAAATTTGAGATTGAGCAACATTAATGTACAGAAATTTGTAGTAAACAATTTGTTTGAGTTATTTGACGTTAAATACTGTTATTAATGTGAATAAATGGACAAAATATATCATGGGTTAAAAAAAATAAGAAACTATATCACTATATCATGTGTTAAGCCTGACTTTAAGATTACTCCAAAAAAATAAAAAAAATTGAAATTAATTTATTATTTAATATTTCCGAGTCGTGTATTTAATTTTTAATGCTAAAAATTACTATACTATGTATCTGCATAACTTCACCTTATTTAAAAGTTGCAAAAGCAAGAAAAAAATTTTTTTTTAAATTTAAAAATTCATATTTAAAAAAAAAACACAGTTCTAAAAATTTTAGGGTCTTTTAAGATCAGTACAATTTGAATTTGCATATTTTTTGAATAAAATTTTTTAATTGTTTTTCGTCTGGCAGAAGTTCATTCAATGATAAAAGAAAATTTCTGATCAAAATTTATCCAAATCAAAAGGGGTCAATTCCAACTGTAGGTCAATTTGACATGGAATGACCCAACTATATTTTACTATTAAGCCGCAATAACAGTAGTAATCCTGTTGCTGTAACAGGAATTTTTCCTGTTGCTGCAACATGACTGCCTCCTGTTGCAACTACAGGAAAATCCTGTTGCTGTAACAGGAATTTTTCCTGTTGCTGCAACAGGAGGCAGTCATGTTGCAGCTACAGGAAAATCCTGTTGTAGCAACAGGATTTTTTCCTGTTGCTGCAACATGACAGCCTCCTGTTGCAGCAACAGTTAATTTTTTTCCGTGTATTATTTATCACCTACACGAAAATGAAAATCAAAACAAAAAAAAATTTTTTTTAAATTAGAAAAATGGCGCTGAAGTTCCCCTGTCCAAAAAAAACGGACCTTACTGGCGCAGGTCGATTGACCTCTCCAGCTGATCTGAAATAAAAAAAAAAGAAAGATTTCTAATTAGTATAAGTATAGTTATCGTCGGAACTAGAATGAAAAAAAAAATATATTTGACAAAATCGCGCGTAGTTAAAAGTACGAATCTGAAATTCATTTTCAAAAAATTTTTTTGTGGAATATTTCTGTGCAAATAAGGATCTTGCTTTGAGGTTGGGCTTATTATGGATGGGTCTTGTTATGAGAGCATCTTGGAGTGTTTTTTTAACTAGTTTGTCTAGTGTGAATGAATTTACCTGATTTCGGTTAATTTTAGTGGGTTTAATGTTTGGCTTTTTAGCCAGCTCTGCTGAGTCAGTTGAGTTGGATTCATTTTTCCTTTTGCCCATTAAGGGGGCCATTTTAAGGTTAGCCGCGCTGGGCTATATGTATGTTTTGATTACACTGGTTATAACTTATTATGAACACTTGGTTGCTGAGCGAACTATCTGTGTTGAATTGTCTTACAATTATTGGGTAAAAGTTGAGTGGAATATTTCTAATAAAAAATTTTTTTCACTATTAAGCTTCGGACACATGCGGTCGCTGCCGTGGTTTTAGTGAGACTAGACCGACACACATGGAAAAAAAATCCTATGAAAAATTACATTGGTAACATCGTAATCCAGAACTAGACTTTCAGTATGTTGATTTTTATGATGCTGCCAATGATTTTTATGATGCTGTAACCAAGAAGCTGGAGAAATTGGACAAACTGGATCAACTTGATAAGCTTGATGATTTGCAGAAGTCGACTAATGAACTTCAAGTTTGATGAGCTGAGCGTCAGGATCGGGTCTCTTGAGACGAGGGTTAGTAAACTTGAGTCAGGCGCATCAGGTGGATGTTCCAAAGAAGTTGCTGATAAAATTTCTAAAGCCGCTAACATATTGGTTGATTGCAATTTTGAGCAACGTGCACTTCAGCTAGAGTCTCAGGCCCTTGAAAATGAGCTATCGATCTCGGGACTGCTGGAGACAGGCAATGAGGATCTGAGTGGCATAGTTGGTCATCTTTTTGAGGCTTTGGAAGTTCCGTTTTCGACTACCAAGGTCAGATTTGCTCGTAGGATCGATAAGCCTCCAGCGCAGAAGACTGGTTCGGCGAATTCAAGGCAGCGCGATATTCTTGTTAAGTTCGACTCAAAGGATACTGTTGATTCCTTAATTATTAGTGCTAAAGGCAAGGTGATTGCTGGTGATTTTGTTGGTAACAATGCTTCTTTGGACCCAGTTCGATTGCATCATCGTCATCCTCAAGCGCTCTATAAATTTCGACAGCATATTCTGAAAAGTTTTTCAAGTCTTCCCTCGCAAAATGTTTGGATTATGGGATCTGCTGTCTGCGTCAGACTATCGCCTGAGAGGCCACCGCTAAGGCTTCTACCGTCATCTGGCATGGAGATACTGAAAAATAAAATAACCCAATAACCTTTACTCACTCAACCTACGTCTATTCATAATTTGTCTGTCTACTCAATTTCGCCAGCTTATCAGCCAATTAATATTTGTCACGTCAATGCTCGTTCGCTCAATAGCTGTTTTGATGTAAAAGCTGTTCTGGGAATACTTCAGGACTCATACCTTTGATATCGATGAAATATGACAAATCATTTACTGTCTCTGCAATCAGAGTTTGGTACGGGCTACCAGTGCAATGTACGTCGGTGCCAACGTTTGTGGAATTTCGTAGATCTACCTACAACTACTTTTTGAGTGTGGATAGGTCACAAGCCATTGTGCAATTGATATTTGATATCTAAGTTGACTGGACATTTTACTATAGTTTGAAATCTTGTCTATTGTATTATATTATGTTATTAGATTATTACATTACATTATATTATTAGTTAAATTTTCGTTACATACAATTTGCAACGAGGTTGAGTGATCAACGTTGACTGAACTGTTCGAATTTAATTTGGACTTTATTAACATATTTAATATTTAAATTTAATACTACATCTACTTTTTATTTTTATTGTTTTCATAAAATGCTATACCATGTATTATTTTGTATTAACGTAAAAGTAGGGGAACGATTGGTATTATGTTAACAATAGTTTTTCTGAATAATATAAAAGTGAATGCAGTTGTCTAGGAGAGAAATAAACACATTTTTGACGTGAGAAACAACTTTGCTATGAAAAAAAAAAAAAATTTTTTTTTTCATTATTTTTTGGAGGTGGGACATCTTGCCCCAAAAAAAAAAAATTTTTTTTTGGAACTTTGGGAAAATTCTGGTGAATTGAGTCAAAGTTGGACGAGAGTAAATCCACTTGATAGTAGAAAGCCACAAAAAATAAAAACCGGCTTATATGGGCCGTCTTGCCCCACCCTCCCCTATGATTATATTATAAAAATTAATTCATTTTTTCAAATAAATGCGATATAATAATTTTTAATAAGATACTTGAAACTCAAAAAAATTATAAGTCGCCATCTTAGTCGACTTTTGGCCTTCGAACATTTAGAATTAAAATTGTAGGTCAAAAACAGTATAAGATTTTATATTGAATTTAAAAACAATACATAAAGTCCAGGTACAAATTAACTAGACTAAAAACCGATCAAACTTTTAAGCCTCATTAGATTATAAACAGCATAAAATATTCATAGCTGCTTAATTATTTTACTAAAAGGTTGTTTAGACTTAAAATAGATCAAAAATAATTTGAATAGTAGATCAAATACAGATGAAAATGTTTTTAAAAGTTCAAATACAGATCATTTTGCTCAAAATCAGTTTAAATTTTTCGACCCGGATAAACTTCTATCAGACTCTTAAGCTCGAAGAGTTCAAAAACATAGAATAGCTAAATTCCTTGAGCTGTATGTATATATACATATTACATATATAGATTCCACCGCTAAATCTCCCTGGACAAAATCTACCCGACAAAAAGCCAACACATGTACTTGTTATCTCGCTGTGCCCTTTTATCATGGTTTTTGTGTATATTTATACCAAAATTGCCAATGTCGCGGAGAGAATTCCCAGAGAGATTTTGTCGGGGAGATTTTGTCCAGGGAGATTTTGTCGTGTCACCCATATATAAACTTTTGAACTATATGTATTTTCTGAATCAGAATGACGAGCTGATTCGAAATATAACAAAATTTTTCGAAAATTCCGTCATGAGGACAAATGCAATAATTAGATTTTTATGAAATCTACTAAAAATGTTCTTTTGAAATTACTTTTAGATTACAGTGCCGACTGATTCCAAAAATTAATAAGCTATTTCTTAAAAAACTGTATAGAATACCTTAAATAGAATTAAGAGCAGTTTAATCACTTGAAGTATATTATTGTTGAAAAATTTCCAAAAAAATGTTTTTCTAACCTACTTGCTTTTCATCTTAACAATAATCGAACGGATTTCGCAGTCTTAAAGTTTCAAGTGCTCTCAACTATCTGATCAAATGAAAAATAGGAATTTTTTTTTTACTTTAAATATTCACGGTAATAGAATGTTTATGCTAAAAAAAAAAACAATTAAAAATTTTATGTATGAATACTATATATATTCATTATAGTTAATCAAATAATCCATTAGAATTTTATGTGTGACATGATTCTCGTTCTGGGATGATATTAATGTTGATATCGATGAACACAATTTCTTAGCGCCAAACATTAATTCATTAACTCAGACAGTGTCGATATCTTACTTGACGTATATAAAGATTGATCGATCTGATCGTTCAATGGTCGTTGGTGTGAATCATAAAGAACGAGAAGACTACAAGCCATCACTTTTTTTCTTAGAAATCACCAGAAACAGAAGAGGAGAAAGAGAGAAAAATAAAAAAAGAGAATCTTTCAGGTTTTGCAGGTCCGAGACGTAGTAACGTGGGCGGTTAGGACAACGTCCTCGCCTTGTACCTTGTTCGGGCTTCTTTTTACGGTGCGTTAACCTGAGAGGGGCCGCAAGACTCCGGTTCTAAATCCTCGGTTGCGGTATGTAAAAGCTAACCAAGTAACAAAAGTAATAAGCAACAAAGCAAAATACTATTGAGACACGTATCATATTTGTATAGTTAGTTATGGAGCCTCCATTTCACTTAAACTATTCTTGAAAAATTTTTAATTTTAGTCTAATATACTCTACCGATGAACTTGAAAATCTGATCATCTATACTATCTGAAAAACTGCATGAAATATTGGATTTCATCAATATCGGTGTATTCGTTTAATCGACAATAACTAAATATTTTTCTAAAGAACTTCATACAAAACCGTGTTGTCAAAATTACTTTGAGATTTCTTAACTGATTGATTTTGCAAATCTGGTTAATCTTTTAGGTTAGAAAATAAACTGCGATAAATACTTCAAGTTCATCAGAATTTATTCATCCGTTCGAAAGTATTACTCATAAAATAAATATGCTTTTAACTGAATACAAAATTTCGTCAAATTTTTGTCTTACAGTAATACGAATGCTTTCTGCTGAGTGCATCAATCGAATATTGGATTGCATATAACAGCATATAACCTTTTACATAGATATTATTCTTCTATGTTGATATAAAACCAATTTTAATAAAAAAAAAAAAATTTTTCTTCTATGTAATTCTAATTTAAATTTCTTAATGTAAAAGGGTAATATTGAACAGACTTATTATATTTTGTTTTGTAGGTCTTATGGGTAGGGTATCTACCACTTTTTTGTTACATAAGAAGATCATAACCCAATCATTGAAGATTCATCAAAATCGGAATTGATTTTTCAGCGAACCTACTCAACTAACTAAGACCTCTCCGAAAATCAAAATTGTAATGCAGAAGTTGTAATATAATGATTGATCACAATTATAAGTCAAGTTAACTGCAAATTTCGGCTTTCCAAACACTCCAATGAGATTACCGTCAATCTAACGCAGCTATAGGGGTCAATTATTGCGTTTCAACCTTTGCTGCCAATCTAATCTGCTATCAATCTGTGTCTCAGATTAATACAAAACTGAGTCAGTCTGTTACCGAGTGGTTGTTGGAGTTCTTACATTATAATTTTGAATATTCATTACTTCGATTAAGTATTCAATTTATTCTATTCAAATTATTTGTAAAAAGTAATAGCTTCTTAAAATTAATAAAAATATTGACTCATTTAGTGTAGTTTTAGCTCCAATTAAGAAGCCATACCATATACAATTAATCACATACCATTATTATTATTATTTTGAGTTTTACTTGTATACCGTTATCTGATTTTTACAAGGCTGATATCCCTACTTTTTATCTCCATTCTATATCTCCACTCTGTATATCTCCACTCTATATCTCTCTATTTATTGCGGCTGTGGACCGACTTGTGCTTTCTGTACCGTATTCACCCTGAAACTCCCTTCTCAGGCTGAGAATATGATTTTCGGAAATTAAAAAAAACTTTTTTGTAAATTTAAAAATTAAAAGAAACAATTTTGGAACGTACTTGGTGTGCGTCATTGTGTACTTCAATTTTTTTTAAAAGTCCTAGAAGATAGATTTTAGGAAGCAGTGTGTGTGTGTGTGTGTGTGTGTGTGTGTGTGTGTGTGTGTGTGTATGTAAACCTCTCGTAACTTTTAAACGGCTTGACCGATTTCATCGCGGTTGATGTCATTCGAAAGGGCTTCACCAAACTTAGATTTCCTGTAAGTTGGAACCGATTCGGACGAGTAGATTTCAAGAAATTGCAATTTGCAAAAAAAGTGATAAAAAAGTTGTTTTTTTTTTCATTTTTTATAAATATCTCCGAATTGGCTGAACCGATCAACTTCAAAAAGTAATCAGCTCTTAACCTTAAAATCCCGCATCAATCACCATATAGAGCGTCAGAATCGGTTGATGAGATATCGTTCGTGAGGTATCGTTGTCGAAAAAAATCGAAAAAAGTGTTTTTTTATAATAACTCCGAAATTTTTCATTAGATCAATTTTTTTGTTCAGAATCATTTATAGAATTTAAAAAACCACGTCGATCGCCGCCTACCGCGTGAAAATCGGTTGATTGATTAAAAAGTTACAGCAGTTTGAAAATTAGAAAAATCGTGTCTCATCGAATTTTGATAAGACTTTTGAGGTCGAAGAGCTCAAAAGCATAGCAAAACTATCTCTTTGAGCTCGGAAAGCTCAAAATAACACATAAATTGTATTTTTCAGCACGAAGAGCTTGAAAACGTCATGAGTGCAATTTTAAGTGTTTAAGTATGGAATTAGCGGGAAGTTGCAGGGATGGCCTTCAGGGTCAACCGTTTTTCTAATTTTTTTTGAGCTGTCCTTTGGTGAGGGCTGTTAAAACATCAAAAACTAACATTTTTTAACTCGAGACTCAAAAAAAAAAATTGGTTGTCTGTAAAGTCGGTTTACGGACGATAGTTTTACGTGATAACGTCATAAACAAACATTGATGAAAAATTGCATACTTTTATAAATTTAATTGAATT